AGCCTGGGGGAAGTTTGCATTGTAAATGAAGAGGTCAGACGGGCTCACAGAGAGGGTGGCCTTTGAGAGAAGACCCAATGATGGTGAGGGAGCCAGCTCTGCAGATTTTTGGGAGAACCATATTCCAGGGAACTGATAATGTATGTGTGAGGAGCAGCACGCAGGCCAGTGTGGCCGAGTGGAGTGAACAGGGGGAGGGGAGCTCAGAGAAATGAAGGGACGAGGGAATGAGTGGGTGTGGGTCCCTCACAGGGGGAGATGCCTCATAGGCCATGGGGATGATGATGGTGTTGACTTAGGGGAAACCCATTTCCAAGTGAAAAAGGCATGTAAGGAGGAATGGTCCAGAGGAGTCTGTGTGATGGGCTCTTTGAATAGAATATTCTAACTTGCATTCCTTCTCAACACCTCCATCTGGAATTTAGAGGAAGGGGCCAGGCCTCAAGATGAGGCTTCCTAAAGCCCTGGGCTCCCCTGTGGCTGGGTCGTGGGGGGCACATTTTTCCTACTGAAATAGCCATGACGTTTGGCTCTTGGGGACTGATGGGGCACGTGTATGATATGGGTCTGGCTCTCCTGGAGGGCAGCCCTCAGCATCTTGTAAGAAGGATGTGCCTTTCTCTTCCTAAATGTCAGGTCAGTGCTGCTGGGAAGCAGCGGCAGGAAAGCAGGCTTGGTACCGCCATCCACACTCCATCCTGCTCCGGGAGCCACCTCGCAGGAAGCCCAGAACCTCTTTCCTCTCATACACGGGCAGATGGGGAGTTGAGATGAGGTTCCACAGGTGTGGTTGAGCACCTACAAAATAATGTACCAGGTGTGTACGGGGGTTGAGATACAAACAAAGTCCCTGCTTCATGGACCTTCAATTCTAGTGGGAGAGAGCGACAGTAAACACAATAAACCAATGTGTGCTCTTCTGTCAGCTCCTGATGAATGGCATGAGGAAATAGGGAGCAGGGTGTGGCAGCGGAGGATGGCGATTAGGGAAGCTCAGTAACAGGGACAGTCATGTCTGTGGAATTTGGCGGCATCCTCCAGTGACTTCTCTCAGTGTCGTCAAGATGGGAGCATTGATGGAGTGAGAGCTAGAATTCACCATGTGCTTATGAAGTGGCAGGCACTGGCTAAGTACTTTCTGTGCATAATCTCCTTTAGTCATCACCCTTTTTTTGATATCCCAGTTTTACGGATGAAGGAAACTGAGGCACAGAGACATGGTGAGTCACAATTCATTTTCAGGGAAGGACTTCATTGCAGGGTGTTGCACACAGCCTGTTCTCCAGCACCATGCTGGGCTGCCTTCACACACGTCTTTATGACGGAGGAGTCCCTCCTTCCTCAGCCTTTGCATGGTACACCTTCAACAGCTGGGTGTTGTGCAAAGAGTAATGGCGGACACAGACTCAGAGGACATGGGTTCAAGTACTGCCCCTATCATTTAGTGGAAGCTTTGTTTGGAGAGAATTCATGAGTAGAGTTCACAGAATGTCTTCCAGCAAAGTTTATTCATGCCTGCTGTCTTTGCTTTGCGATCTGTTCCTTCTCCAGTCACCAGCTGGCTTCTGCCAGCCTCACCCCGTCTAGCCAACTTTCATTTCCTAGCCACGCCAGCCTGATTATTTCTAATTGTCTTTGACTGCTTCCAGCTGAGTCTCCTAGCTGGCGTTCTGTGGGAGCACACAGACACTCTCCCAGCCATATGGAGGAAGGAGATGGGGAAGAGATGGGGAGGAAGGAAGCAGCTGGTACAAGTCAACTGAGAAAGCTTTTCGTCACTTTCCAACCCACCGTGATTGGTAATGGTTTTTAAAGGGTTAACTCATGCAAGTTAGAGAATGGGCCATTTTGACAAGACAAACGATTACATTTGTTGACCTCTTAAATGCAACCAATGATACAACAGCAAACACTTTTAGAAAGTTATTAGAAACGTCCTCCCCTGGTACAGATGGGGTCTTGCCATCAGGAGCAATGAAACCCCACTCACAGGAGAATCATGGGAAGATGGGTCTCATTCATCTATTCGACAAATATTTATTGAACAATGACCATGTCTCGGGCACTGTGCTAGTGCTCCAGGGCAAATAAAATACAAAATAAAACACAGCTCCTGTTCTCAATGAGTTTAAAAGAAAAGGAAGACATTCGTAGGAAGTAATACAGGGCATAAGAAGCATGTGAAATGAATGATATTTAGTACAGAGATGGATGAGTGATCAGTTTCTTGTAGTTCATTGATCGCGAAGAGCTTCATAGCAACGGGGACACCTGTACTAAGTAGAAATGGGTGAGAGGCAGCAGACTGGGGGTGGGAATGGCATAGGCAAAGATGCAGAGGTGAGGAAATCCCATCCTGGATGAAGGCAGCTGAAATTTAGGGCCCAGGGAGACCCCGTAGGAGGAGAGGAAATTTAGTCTGGGATAATTGGTAGAGAACCTTCAATGCTGGACTACTGCTTTTCAACCAGATGTTTTCTGCATATCTAATATGAGGGTAATGCTTTGTTTTGAGTACTAATTTGTCCCCCATAAAGGAATTTCTGGGGTTATTCTTTATTAAACGAGGTCATTTCAGAGACAGGACCTGTAGTTCAAAAACCAGTCACTAAGCCCAGGCCGGTGCAGGATTTCAACTTCTCTTTGGCATCCATCCCAGCTGATGGAATTAGCAGTGAACCTGAATCAAACCCAGGCATCAGGCTTGAAAAAGATTTAATGGGCCTGGATTTTCTCTCATCTTCACCCCTTTCCTGACCTCCACCCTAAGAGGATAATTAAAAGGAAAGAAAATCTCTCTTTCATTGTAAATGTCTTCCACCATTTTTGTGCCTGAAGCTACTTTTTTTTTTTAGTCCATAAAGATACTTTGATGAACAGTCTCTGAAAGTTGCCTTATATCATAATAATGGGACTTCTAAATTTTCATGGAGAGCTAGGGTCCTCGAATTTTTAAAAAGTCATACTCTATAAAAACAACATTGGGGCAACTCCAAAAGCTTTTCTGAAGGATGATCGAGAACGGTTTTGACCCCAAAGTGAGTGCCATCTTCCCCATTCATCGGACCTTTGTTGAGCATTTACTCTGCTGGCCCTGTGCTGGGCATTCAAACCCCGCCCCCCGGCCATGTTACTGTCTTAAATTTGATTATTGAAGCACAGACATTAAAGGGATTGGATTGGCCTTGCAGAAATTGCCGGGGTGGAGTGGCGACAAAGCGGTCCCTTAAGCACAGCAAGAAAACATTTGAAAGCTATCTTGAATGTTGGAAAATGGGAACAATGGGAAGACTGATGGAAAACATGGGCTCAGTCATAGCAAGGCTGGGGACTTGTAACACGAGAGTGGGTGATTACAGCATATTTAAAGTAAGATTTGTTTAAAATAGGCGTTTCCCTGGGTCACTTTTCAGATGGGTCAGAGAGCCCCCAAGACACTGGCTGAGGACAGCGGGCACCCCCCCCCCCCCATCCCCGCGCCCCGTCCCCATCTCAGAGCATTGATGTGGATCATGCATGCTATACTTGTTTACCGAGGAGTCAATAATGAAAGGAACTTGGTGAGGACCGAATCCTCCCTTTCAACTCTGATGTTGTAATATCAGGGGTTAAGGATGCATTAAACGCTGGCGCCTTTTCTCTGGCTGCTCAACAGGTAGCATTTTGCAAATGCCTCCCCCCTACCTAGCCCCCAGCCTCTCCCTCACGAGAGTCCTCATTTTGGGTTTGAGAAGACGTTGGGGATCCTGGAGAAGACCAGCGTCGTGAGGGCAGCTCCGCTTGTTTATGAGGGATGAGCAGGGGGCGCGCACAGAACAAAAGCCTTCAGGAGCAAGGAGCGCTGGTCCACCTCACCCAGCGATCACCGGCATCATTTCAATGGAAAGCAAAGAAGGTGTCAACACACAGGCAGAGGCAGCATACGCCCTGGTTCCTACGTTGCTGCTGCTACTATTATTGTTGCTGCTGCTCCTCCTCCAACACAGCAATCCGGTCTGCGTGCGAGCCCGGGCAGACGCCCCACCACCTCCCCACTCTTCCCCCAACCCATCCATCCATCCGTCCGTCCATCCAGGGTCTAGAGGGCCCTACGGTGGGTCAGGCCCTGGGGTGGACACCAGGCACCTAACCCACAATCCACGGGGTTCAGGAGCGCCTCCCTCCCTTCCTCTTGCCCCGAGTGGGTGCAGCTGATGAGGGATTTCACCGCCGAAAGGTCCAGAAAGCCTAAGCCCAGAATCCAGGCGAGAGGCGCAGCCGGAGGCGGCCCGACTTGGGCGGCCGGGAGCGCGCGTCTCGGAGGCTGCGCGGGGTCCCCCTGTCTGGCGCTCAGGTGGCTCCGCCGCCCACTCCGCTGCTCCCCTCCCCGGACCCTCCCCTCTCCAGCGAGGGTCGAGTTTGGCTGTTGCGCGCGGGGAAGGAGGGGCTACGAGGGATTTGAAAGTGCACAGGCTGCGGAGTGGAGCTCGCATCTGTTCCCGCCGCCCGCGACCGGATTAAATTTCTGCAAATTCAAACTGAATGGGGCTTTCTTCCGCTGCCTTCCAGAGGGCGCCTGGAGCCCGCCGCGCGCTGCTCGCGGGCGGGAGCGGCCGGCGGGCGCACGGCTAGGAACGAGCGAGCCGGACCCGAGCCCGGCGGGCCAGCCGGCGGCGGCGAGGGAGGAGGCTGCGGAGGCGCCCGGGCTCCGGGACCCAGGCGCCGGGGCTCCGGGACCCAGGCACCGGACCGCGCCCCCCGCCGCCCCTCCCGGGCCGGCGCGGCTCCCTGCGCGCCCGAGCAGGGCGACTGTCATTAGCCGCCCGGACGGGACCTGGGGCGGGCTCCCGGTGTCCTGAAAGGGGCCCAGGCGACCCTCGGAAGAAGAACTTCTTGGGGGCGGGTCCCCGGCATCCCGTCGCCCGGGCGGCCGCTATTGTCTGCGCGCGGCGCTCGCCGGCGGCCGGGGGCGCGGGAGCCGCGGGCCGGGCGGGGCCGGGCCCGGGCGGCGGCGGGAGGAGCGGGGGAGCCGGAGGAGGAGCCGCGAGCGCGGGAGCCGGGCCGGAGCGGCGGCGAGCGCGATGCCGGCGGCGGCGGGGGACGGGCTCCTGGGCGAGCCGGTGGCGCCCGGGGGCGGCGGCGGCGGCGCCGAGGACGCGGCCAGGCCGGCGGCGGCCTGCGAGGGAAGTTTCCTGCCGGCCTGGGTGAGCGGCGTGCCCCGCGAGCGGCTCCGCGACTTCCAGCACCACAAGCGCGTGGGCAACTACCTCATCGGCAGCAGGAAGCTGGGCGAGGGCTCCTTCGCCAAGGTGCGCGAGGGGCTGCACGTGCTGACCGGAGAGAAGGTGAGCGAGCCGCCGGGCGCGCCGCCCCTGGGCTGGGGTTGGGGGGTCGGGGCGGGAAGGGCTAGCGGGGACCCTGCGGAGAGCACTGCCCTGGGAGTCCGGCTGCGTCGTCCTTACCGGGCGCCCCCCGTCCCCCGCCTTTCCTCTCGGGTTGAAAGAGGAATCGAGCCAAAAGCGCGCAGGCCCTCGCAGCCCGGGTGTCGGCTATTCCCGAGGGGCGATCTGGGGCCAGTTTCCCCGGGGGCGGCTGGTTTCCCCGCGCAGCTGCCCGCAGCCTTTGTGCTCCTGGAAGGGCGCCGCCTGGCGGACACCAGCGCGGGGGTCGGGCTGGGGGGCTCTGCTTTCGGGGCCAGTAGGGGCCGCCGAGGAGCGGAGAGGCAGGATCCCGCGCCGGAGGGCGAGGGCCCTGATGTTGAGGGTGAGAGAGCGAAGTAGCCAGCCGTTGAGGGAGCTTGGAGTCTGATCACCCTCCTGGGCTCTGGGGAGGCGGTGGGGGAAGGCCGAGACCCCAGGGTCTTTCCTCTCCACCCGTGGGCTAGGGCAGCTGGGAAAGGTTTGCACGCCCGGAGGAGGGCATTTACACGCCGCCCCCAACCCCATCCCCACCTCCTTCCCTCCATCCCCCCCGCCCCATTCCCAGGGTGGAAGCTGCAGTAAGGACCCTGCTGTGGCAGGTACCCCCAGACTTCAGAGGTTGGGAGGGGCCTTCTTATCCTTGTAGAAGAGGGGACAGTAAAGGAAGACCCCCAGAGACCGGAGCGGCACCCTCTCCAGCTTTGTGAGAAGTTAGTTGGTTGTTAAGCTTTGCCAGGCGAGCCCCTGGAAGATCTAAGTTGTGACTTAGATTTGTGAGAAGAAACCCAAGATATGATGACTTAGTTTTGAGGTGAGTGGCCCAGGCACTGGGTCGCCCCAAGTGGCCGCAAGCTTGGAGCTACTTCAGACTGAGGCTGCCCCAGGCTCCTGGTCATCTCAGACAGAAGTCTCCCCCCCATGGCTGGGGGTTGCTCAGGGCAGGTGAGGTGGCAGCACCTTTCTATGGCCCGTTGACCAAGGGGGCATCAACAGTATGGCAGGAACAGGGCTTCCTACCTACGCTTCTGCCCTCTGACCTGGGATCCTCTGCCCAGCCTGGCAGCCCCTGGGAATACTCTGCCGTGGGACCGCTGATTGCAGGGCGACCTGCCTCGCCTAGCTTTAGTTTCGCTTCTTCCCCACCGTGTCCTGGTGCATTTGAGTGCAGGTCTCCATCATCCTTGTCATTTGTCCTGTATTCCTACAGCCGCTCTGGGGGGGGAGGGGGGCTTTTTATTTTGGGTAAATGGAGCGAGAGTGAGTCGTTTTAAAAAGTGCCTCTTGCTTGAATATTTTCATGCCAAAAGGGAGTGTTTGGGATGAACTCACTGAATTGAGTAACTCTTCAAAGAAGAAAAAATCTCTCCAAACCTCATTCTGGACCAGAGGCAGCACGGCACGCTTGTCTTTGGTTCGCAGAGGGCTGTCCCACTTACACATGGGCCAGAGCGCTAATTACAGCGCGCTTGCTCCTCCGCGCCTGTGTCAATGCCTGTTGGCACGGATGGTAGAACTTTATTTTCATTCGAAATGTATAGGATTCCGTCTGGTTGTGCATGTTCCCTCTTAAAACTTAAGCAAGAAGAGACGAGGCTTTATGCTGACAGCGTAATGGCCAACATTACGAGCACATTCGTCTCCCCTGCCCTGCCGCTCAGCAGCGTCTGGCTGCCCTCCACGTTCCGTGCCGTGTTGTGACTCCGCGCCTCACCGGTGCGTTTTGGCTCCATAACACGAGGCTGTTAACCTTAGCTGAACGCACTCAGAGCTCGGTCTCTAGCCGGGCAATCAGGTTCTGGAGCTCTGTGCTGGACCCACAGGGCATTCTAGAATACAGGGAGTTCCTGCCCAAATGAGGTGCCTCCTTCACCCCCCGGGGGGGGGGCATGCCCCTTTCTCTCCCATCTTATCTTTCTTCAGTGATGAATCGCTTCATCTCAGCAATGCGAGGAGCTATTAATTGGCTGTAAAATTATTGCGCTAAACTAACTGATTGCATCTAGTTAAGGACGGTGGTTCTTAGGGTGGGGGAGGAGGTGCAGAGATTTTTCTGGCGTACCCTTCTCCAGCCTTTAGAATCAGTGCCCCGGTGACTGCCATCATCATGAGAAATCTGGATTTTAGTTCATTTGATTGTCAGCTTTGAAGAAACAATGGGTGTCATTCATAGCTTTTATCTCCCAAATCCAATACCTTTAATGCTTAACTAATAGTTTTGGGCTTTGGCAGATGTAGAGATTAAAATGTTTGTGTGTGTGTGTGTGTGTGTGTGTGTGTGTGCGCGCATGACTCTGCCTGGGAAGAATTGCTGAGTTCATGAGTCCCCATTCCCGCTCATGTTCTGGAAATTGTCTTACTCAGGCCAAAAGGTGAAGTCAACCTCATGCTATTTGCAGCCTTGTGGTCTCTTTAAAAGGTGAGCTATTAAGAGGATTTTCCCCTGGAGAGGGGTTACTCATGTGAGCCGAGCAAGGGGAGACCTTGAGGTGACAGGTCTGAGGAAGAAAAGTGAGTTGTCTCCCATGGTGGGTGATGTGAGTGGCGGGGGGAGGCCTCCCAGCCAAATACCTCCCCCTTTTGGGGGTGCGTGCTTTTTGCATAAAGCATTTCACTTTTCTCATTTCCTTTCTTTTTTTAAAGGACACAGACCACGGCAGAAGGAGAATTAAGTCATGAATACCATAGTAAGAAATGGATGTATGCCCCCACATCATCCCCCGACGGGAAGCGTCGGGGCAAGCGTCGGGGCAGCTTGTGGTTGGGAATCAGTTCATGAAAAAGCCAAAGGGGGGATGGCAAAAGGGAAGAAGAGAGGGTGCCCACGTTTGGCCTGCTTCACAGTTGCAGTTGCAAACTACACACTTCATTTTGGGTGATTTGTGCCAAAATACAGAGTGTTGCTGGTTTAGAACACTTGGAGTATCGCATTTTGACTTGGTGCACATTTCCAAAAAGATTTGGGCAAAATCCTCCGTGGCTTGTTGGGAATTACTGTCTGAGTCCAGATGACAAAAGGAGCCACTTTTTCCTGGCTTTCATTTCAGGCTTCAATCCTATCTTATCAAGAGGCTTCTTTTCCCACCACGGGCCTGCAGGACAGTGTTTTGCCAGCCTTTCCTCTGAAGTTGTTTGTTTGAAAGTCATTTGAATCTAGATGGCCCTTTTACTGCTTGAAAAGAAAGAATGGCTTTGGGCGAGACCTAATTTTGTCCTCCCTTAGCTGGGAGTGGAGGCAATCTCTGTTAATGTGGCTTTAAAAATAAATGATTCACTTGGTCCCGTGAAATGCTTAATTGGTACGTTCTCAGTCAGACAGAGTGTCTTTGACTAAAGGTGAGTTGATGATTGGACAAGGAAAATAATCACAGAATCAGATTTGGAAAAGTATCCTTCTGTGTGGCTTTGAGACAAAGCGAAATTGCTGAGCAGGAGTATGGAGTACTGACTTTGAAAGATCCACAAAGGTTGTGCTTGCTGCCTCTGGTACCTATGAAATGCAGAGTCCCTGGCACATATAGGTTATTACTACATTTTTAAAAAAAAATATTGGCACATGAGCTAACATCTGTTGCCAATCTTCTTTTTTTTTTTTTCTTTTTCTTCTCCCCAAAGCCCCCCAGTACATAGTTGTATATTCTAGTTGTAGGTTCTTCTGGTTCTGCTATGTGGGACGCCGCCTCAGCATGGCCTGATGAGTGGTGCTAGGTCCGTGCCTGGGATCCAAACCGGTGAAATCCTGGGCTGCCAAAGCAGAGCTCGTGAACTTAACTGCTCCACCACGGGGCTGGCCCCTGTTATTACATTTTTAAAAAATTGATAAAATATAGTTGGAAAGGCTTAAAGAGAAAACATAGGTATACCTCAGGTCTGGAGCTGGTTTCACAGGCAGATAATCTGCAAAAAGGAAAAGAGTTGATGCCACCATTCCCTTCTTTTGTGATTAAGTCTCTCTAAGATACAAAATAGGGTACGTAAAATGATTGGTTAACGTGTTTAAATATCTTGTTCTAATCCCCCGTTAAAAAAAAAAAAAAAGCCTGTTTATCGCTTTCCTTGGAGCTATTTTTGGGCTAAAAAATCAGGATTGCCTGCTTCATAAGTTGCCAGTAATTAGACCTTGAGCACGACAGTGCCAGCTACCTGGTGCGAAGGAGTTACTAAAAATACCATTTACTATGTTTTGCGGAGCAGGAAATATGACTAATTTTAGAGGTGGCCTTTTGGCAGATCCGTTTTTAGCGAGTATTGCTGAAACAAACAGGTGCTAAATCCTGTATTTTTTTGGAAAGTGCTAGAAATTTGGGGATAATGGCTCTGAGGAACAAGAAATGCTTAGAGAACTGGAAATTCCTATTAATCCTTAGCAGGGATTTCTTGGCAAGAAGGAGGCATCTGGCAGAGGCACCTGCTCTGTGTGTTGTGTGTGACAAGGTGGCGCCTATAATTTCCGAGATTGCATGCTGCAGTTGTGGACACGTTCTTTTTGAACTTCCTGCCCAGCCTCATCTTTTTGAAGTACTTGTGAATGATGCAAATTGGCACGTTGGGCTGGGTTCTTAGGGTTCCCTGCTAGGCAGGTCACACGGACTTCAAAGGCTGCGTTGAGTTCACGACAGCGCTGAACGGTGCCCACGAAGAGGAGTCCAGCCCTAAATTTTCTCTGCAGGTGTTGCGTCACCAGCACAGGCTGGGTTGCCTGAGAGCACGCCGCACACTGCTGGCTGTTCCAATGCAGCGTGGCAGTCATTCATCCCGATGGTGATCTTCCCAGAAGGTGCGGGGAGTGGACGCTGTGTGTCCCCGAAGAGACGGGCATGCTGGGTGTCCTTTGTGGGAAAGTGGTTTGTGTACGAAGTATCATTTACCTTGGGCTACAAATGCCCTTCTCGATTATTCATGGTAACCGAGCGACCTGCTCTCTTGGC